GGCTTTGGTTTGGGGTTCTGGGGTCCGTAGGTGGGTTGTTCGTGGGGGTTGTGGGGGCTGTGGGTGGTGGAGGTGTTGTTAGGGGGGGTTGAGGTTTCTTGGGTGTTGTAAGGTTGTGGTGAGTTGTGGGATTGGGGTGTTGTATATGGGTTTTTTAGGTTTTTGGGGTGTTGTAGGTTTGTGGGATTGGGTGTTGTATATGGGTTTTTGTGTTTTGGGTGTTGTAAGGTTTGTGGGGGTTTGTTTGGGGAGTTGTGGGGATGGGGGTTGCATATGGGGGTTTTAGGTCCTTGGGGGTTGAGGAGGGTAGTTTGTGGGGGTTGTGGGGACCTTGTGTTTTGGGGTTGTGGGTCTGTGGGTGTTGGGGAGGGTTGTTTTGGAAGTTGTGAGTATGTTGGGAGCTGCTGTTGGTGTGAAATTTTGGAGGATGTCGAGGTAGAGAGAGATTGGTGACGGGAGAGAGAGGGAAAAGGGGTAAGGAAAGGGAGTAGGATGCAAAGGAGGATGAAAAGAAGGAAGGGAAGAGAAGAGAAGAAATAATAAGAAAGTATAAAAGAGAAAGAGAGAGAGGGGAGAGAAAGACAAGAAAGACATAGACAGAGAGCGATCATACTGCAGAAAAGATATGAATGAGAATGAATAGATTCACATTGCAAGAGATGCATTTAACCCATTTCAAATACATCGCCAGGACTGTATGACACGTTCGAAACCGGTTAAATACACGCCTCGTATTGTGAAGATATTCCTTCGTACCTTTTTTTACTTACGTCACCATGCGTGCGGTTCAGAGTTCTTGTTCCAAACTTGAAGGACGCCGCGCCATGGGTGTTTGGGAGTGCCACCGGTAAGCCTTGGCCCAAAGGGGTAGAAAGCCATTGACACTGGGTGATGATAAAGACATGATTTGGCTGAAATTCAAGAAGGATGATATGAAAGATTACACAAGATAATTAGGTGATTTAGATTGGTTATCAGAAATGTTACATTATCGACAATATTGACTGGCTTTTGGCTTTTTAAGGGCGAATGAAGAACTGAGAAGTGGTCGTAATGAAAAGAGCAATAATGAATATGATGAAGATAGTAATGATTAGAATGATACTGATAATAGTGATAATAGTATGATCATAATAATGATGGTAATGATAATCATAATGCTAGTGGTAATAATAACAGGTAAGATAATTTTGATAATTATAATGATTAAAAGAATGAGTAAAAGTAATGGTAATGATAAAGATAGTAGCAATGATGATACTAACAGCAATCATGATAATGGTAACAGCAATAATGAAGGTAATATAATATAATCCCAAGGAAAAAAATCAAGGAACATAACCATGTGACCCCACTTCCATTTAGCCTATTGAACCCAAAAATGAAATTGACCTTTTCCTTATAATATTCTGATGGCAAGGTAAGGAAGTCTTCATTATCATAAGTAAAAAGGGGGGATTTTGGTTTCACTTCTGAGAAGTATAATTATAACGTGTAAATTATGTAAATAATTATGTATCAAGCCATATCTGATATATCACAGTGCACTTCCATTGGCTACTTGCGGTGACGTCATCAGCCCCGACGCATTTCTTGACCTCAACAATTTTTTTTTATGTTTTATGGTATGTTTTTCATCGCATTTTCGTCGAAAACAGTTTAGTAATAATAATGGCAAAAATATCGCAAAAATAATAAAATAAATGAATAGATAAATATCCGATATATACAATGATGAGGCGAGGCTTAGTCCGGAAGTTGCCAACTAGGATTTTCATCAAAATGGAGTGGTTATACCTGAGGAAAAATGTCTTGAAAATAAGGCATGAATCGATGACGAATTTTCCTTTCTATTTTCTAGTTTCAAAACAAGGGTTTCGCCCGCCACAACGGCCGTGTTACGTACACTGCAGTTCGATGGAAACGTAAATGTTTTCTTTGTCACTTCGTATCATTTGCATTTTTCGCGTGTGTGTGTGTGTGTGTGTGTGTGTGTGTGTGTGTGTGTGTGTGTGTGTGTTTGTGTGTGTGTGTGTGTGTGTGTGTGTGTGTGTGTGCATATATTTTTTATTAATTTGTTTGTTCTTCTATTTATTTATCTGTATTTATATTTATTTTATATTTCTTGGTATGTGCTATATGCATATGGCTACACATGTGTATATTTTTATACACATGATTTTATATAGTGTGTATGTGCGTGTGTATGCATGTGTGTACGTATGTCCCTGTGTTCATAGATGCGAATTCTTATATTCCTCCTAACGGTGACCATGTATATTGAAAACGAAAATAGATGAACTAATATTCGTCGTCCCAGTTCGCAAAAGTTACGAAATCGTATAACACCGCAACTAATGCTCGCTACGTTACAACACCTGTGTATACGGGAACGTGTGAAAGATGTGACTGAACCTACAGCGTTAGTAAGGCAGGCCGTGTGACACGTAGACGACCATGCACGATTAAGAGAAGGAAATTAGAGAGTAGCTTTTTTATG